TCGTAATTACGCACCATTTATGCATAAAGGTCGGTCTATTGAGGTTTATATACAATCTACACGGCTATCTACGGCGCGTAATTAATATGCMATGGTCAGTTTATCCGATATCGTAATAACGCACAATTTATAAAGGCCGGTCAATCGTCACCCTACCTAACCCATCACGCACAATTAGTGTACCATGGTCGGTTTATGGTAGAAATCAATCAAGTACAATATGCAACGGCCGATTGTTAGAAACTTACGTAACAAWTTATAGAATATATCAAAACGAACACATAGTAAAGATCGGTTTACCGGTTACGTTACGTAACAATCTTTCGCGTACTTTAACTATGTGTAAAGGTGGGGTCAGGGAGTGGAATCCTTACGTAGCAATCTCGGCTTATACAAGAAAAAAAATATTGAGTTCCTAAGTATACAAAGGTCGGTTTATCGGCACCTTATCTAAGAAATATTCGCGCCCATGGGCTGGATTACCGGGTTCTTAGCGCAACAATCTTGTGTAAAAAGGGTCGGTTTATCGTGTCCTCATATTCCGACCATAGCGTGGATTCAACAGTCCATCAAGTGYAAGATTAACGGATCAGTAGTTTTTAATCTCTTTGGATTATCTTTCTTTTGAAGAAGATCAGACCGTAGGTTATCGTAGCTCTAGGAGGCCGATTATATCGATTAGTCATCGTGTGTTTAGACCAGCGGGACTTGCAAGGGGTTTTCCATGTTATCTGATTGCGAACGAGTTGAGATAGTGTTATGGCTCGTTTTAAGATGAAAAGATAAGAGGGAAGAATATCTTTAGTGAGGGATGCCATGAACTTAACGAGAAGGATCTGTCGATCACCTCATCAGAAATAAAAATCAWGAAACGAAAAGAAAAGATAAAAGGGAAAAGTGGAAAAGGAGAAAAACACTTTGGGAAAAAAGATTGATTTTCCAACAGTGCGAAAAAAATTTAAAGATTATATAAAAAAGCATTCATACAAATTTCTTTTAACGCAAAGTTACTTATGGACCCGATGAATTTTTAGTTTTTTATAGTCAAATAAAGCACAGTAAATATCAATACGTAAAAAATATTTTAAAATGTTTTTAGACAAAGAAAATGAGACACAGAATGAGGGAGGTTAGTTCACCTTTGATGCGTCAAGCAGCTTGAATTTTCTCGGGCTTTTTGTTCGTGCGTACTTGCAACCATTAAAATACATGTTCCACGAGCAGCCAAATGAGTAAGACGCTCCACATGTGTCTCCGTTCATCCCCTGACAAGCACAAGACTTGCTGCAGAGAACACAATAAACAAGTTAAACACTAAAAGAAAAACACGACTAAACAGGACAAAAAGATTGTAACGTGAATTGGCATGTTTTGAACGTACAGTTGAAACGTAGATTAAAATCCGCAAACTGGGCGCAAACAAAACACGTCCGTCAAGAACGTTTGACCGACGTATTCAGCTGAATTTAACTTTTTATCAAGAAACTGTTCACATTTTGTACGAAAAAGAATCGCTCTACACGTGAATGGTTTAAAAAGTCGACATGTATTTCAATTAATCAATAACTGATCATTCACTTCCAGCCAAGTCAAAATTGTGCGCACGGTTTTAATGGTGCGAATGTTCGTTTCCTAATTTTTCTCTGACAAACCTTTCTGAAGTTAAAAAACTTGAAGCTTTTTTAACCTTTCCTCTCAATAAGGGACATTGGGTCAAAGTTACCCTCCCGACCCAACCCAATTCCTTAAAAATTTCAACAGGCAAGGAAGCAAATGACCAGATGGTGTACAAAACGTCTTTACCTGTCGTTGTAACAACACCTTCTTGCTGTAGGAACTGCGTTCTCTGGTATAACAGTGGAGAGTTCTTTRTACAAGAAGTCAGCCTGTTCACTAGATATGCCTTCCCATATCACGATACTTGTGATTAACAATGAGGTATCACAGACGTGGTTCACACGCTTGCGACAGACAACTAAAACCTTCTCATCAGGTCCGGATCTCTTTAAAACCTGAAATACGAAAAATAATTTTAAAAGCATCCGCTTTTATAAAATACTTAAAAAAAAGGCAGAGTACACTTGTTATATATGTAAAAAATCTTCTTTGAAATAATATGTCTTCTTCCTTGAGTCAACAACGAGCGTTTTAAATCATCTTTTTATAAATAGGATTTATTTTAGACACAATGTTGTAAATAAAAAGTAATATATTTTATATTTAAAATATTTTATTTCAGTTAAAGAAAGCTCTTTGAATTTGAAGAATAGTAAAGTGACCCAAAACCCCAATTTATTTATTCCATCATTCCTGTATTCACTTATTGACTAGCTTAATTCCATTTATTCATTCGTTCAACCATTATTTATACAACTATCTCTTATGTTATGAATCAGTCAATTGATATTCCGACCCCTAACCCCCGTGAAGGGTGGGGAAGTTACCTCATTATAGACCAGAGATTAATCAAAGTTCTACTGGGAGGCAAGAAAACCAATGTCTAAATTGAAGGACTTGATCTGTTTAGCCGTGAAACGCCGACGTTTCCATCTCAGGGGCGTACATATCGAAGATTTGTCATTTAAATATTTTCACTATGACGTCACAAAACGTAAACATGACGTCATATTAATATTGTTTTTAACACAAAAGAATTTTACATAAGCAACAAACTAATCTCCTTAAATGATTAAAAGTTTAAAGAAATCATCACTCATTGWATCAACAATCAGATTTAATAATAATATTTTTCAGTGGTTTAGACACAGGCGTCCAAGACCCCTCTAGATATACCCTACATTTAATCATCTTTTTTCTTTTTTTTTTACTTTCGACCGTTGTAATTTAATCACTACTATATAACTAATTGTAAATTGTAATCATACTCAAACTGAAGATGACTTTATAAGTCGAAACATGTCTTTGCAATTAAAGTGTTGTGTTGTTTTTAATCAATTTTCCCATGATCCAATTCRTTAAATTATTCTTACAATACTCAATCAATTCCTTATCCATTACTTTTTTTAAATATTTTATTCACTGATATATTCKCTCACTACTTTGCTTATTATTTATACCTCGCCAATCTATTCTGATCTCATTATCAATATTTTGCTTACCCATCTTGCAATGGGACAGCCTTGAGAGTTCTTCCCTTCTCTCGTTGTGTAGGTTATCTGAATAAAARAGACAAGATTACAAATCCTGTCATGATTTGTTGTACAAAATGTCATCAATACACATCATTGTTCATTCAAAGCATTTTCAAAGTATTCTTTCATATCACAATCAACTTACCAATTCTATCCTTAATGCATTCCCCTCTACGCCAAACCTTGAATCAAAAATAATGATTATTAAACGGTCAATAAAATTATAGTTGTGTATGTGTGTGTTAATGGCACCAACCTCTTTTCACACATTGATTTGAGAGCTTCCATATTAGGAGCATAGCCAAGTTGCGTGTAATCTGGCCCATCATCCTTCACTGAAACTAAATAAAAATAAAAGGTAAAGAGATGAATAAAAGTTCAAATGAACAATATGAACACAGAAAAAAATGAGTTTGAAAGAATGGGAAATAAAATTAATTGGTTCAGATTTCTCTTATGTGAGAGGTGCCATAATAATATATAAGACCCAAGAAAGGAAAAATATAAATGTTCATTTAGATATACTGCTTTGGTTATATAATGCAGTTACATATATGTTTGTTTTGTTTTGTTTTTTTTCTTGTATTGTCTTTTTGACCTCTAAAAAGAGCTTGCACTGGTTGTATCCACCAGCTGGATCTTCCCTACTTAAAGGGACACTGTCAATGGCACGCATGCGCGAGTAAACTTGAAAACACTAGGCTAGTATTTTCAAGTTTATGACTCCAAGTTGGCGCGACATAAATCAGCTCGTAAACGTTAACAGATCTAGAATATTCCAAAGTGTGTCAAAAGCACCACAAAATGATTCACCTCGAAGGTAATACTTTCAAAGTCCATTAGAGGTGAGACGGTTACTGCGCATGTCATCCATTGACAGTGTCCCTTTAAAGTATATAGACTTATTCATCGATTAAAGCACTTTGCTTACAAATTAGTTACCAGGCAAATTTCAATTTGTTAAACTTTATCCTTTGCCATCCAATGCTCACAATATATTTTTCTTCTTTTTTGAAATTTCTTTCAAAGTGTTAGCAAGGTATAATGAACAAAGTTCACTTTTTGTATGTGGATATTTGTAAAAACAGTTGAACATCGCTTGCAAGAACCTGTGTTRTTAGCATCCAAATCAACTAGATATATTTAGCTTTAAAAACAGAGAAAATCAAAAAAATAATGCACTCCCTTTCAAATAATGTACAGACCCATTGGTTAACTTACAAATGTGGGGGGTTTGTTTTTTTATAATGCAGACCTAAATTAAATGTTTAACTAAATTAGTTAGATGCACAGGTATACCGCATAAGAACTGGCTGATAAAATGAGCAGTTTATAACAAAAACATTTCATATTAACAAAAGAATTTTAAAATAGAAATAAACAAAGCGAAACTCTGGACCTTTTATGCTTGTGGGGGGTTCTGTCCGAACCCCTTGAACCCCCCTCAGCCCACCATATATGGCAATAGAACAAAAATTTAAGACAATCCTTAGACATGATTCACTCCTGCACAGGCCTCAAAAATCACACCATTATACATATACGTCAAGCAATAAGTGAGAACTTGACAAGTTTTAGACACCCCCTAGAAGCTCACACTTTCGCCACTGTAATCACTGCAGYTCTTGGGGATTGTTTGTTGTGGCTACTTTGCAGTATTGTTGTCTGCTTGCTAGCTGTTTTGTTGGTGTTAATAAATTTTGTTTGGTCATTTCCTTTGTTCATGACTCAGCATGTCACTTGGTCAGCGATACCCCCCGCTAACCCGTCAGCACACTTGCTGCAYGGCATTATGCATGTGGTCATTCATAGTTTTTGCAATTCAACAAAACAGCTGAGATATTAGAACAATTATTTATCGAGTCTCCCAATGGGTATTCAATTTTAAAATCCTAAATTGAGTTTCGTGAAGAGTCTAAAACTTAAACATAAGCAGTTTGCAAACCTTGAGTAAAAACATTAGGAACTCATTAGGAATTTAAAATAACATGCAAACAAGTGTGAGTTGAGGCTTGTTATGGAAGCTCCTCTTATTTTACAGCAATGCATATATATGGGGCAGGTCTGGGAAGACACAAGAAAAATCATTGAAATGTGCAGGAAAAAGGTTTAAATCGTACAAGAAAAATCATTGAAATGTGCAGGAAAAAGGTTTAAATCCTACAAGAAAAATCATTGAAATGTGCAGGAAAAAGGTTTAAATCCTGCACCAGTTTCTCAAACTTGCACCTATATTGCTAATTGAGCAAACCAGTGGCACATATTTAGGCTAAAAAAGGCTTTATCCACCAATCCACACCTTGTTAAGTATCATCCATGCAATATTTACAGGCTTTTCTAAAGTATTTGGAAAAAAATTGTTTTTGAAGAGGTCAGTCACAACATCCTCTATAAAATTAAAAGTTTAACACATTACTTGCAATCTAGGGTTTGTTCAGCAATCGACATTAAATCGCACTTAATCGAACACAATAAAACAACTTGATCCGACACCACTCGAAAATCGTTAGGAAATCATATTTATTTTATCGTCTAATAAMAATTTGGGTAGAATTTTAATAGAAAAGCACAGCACGCGCGATAGAATCAAAGCGTGAAAAACCTAAATGCTGAAAATATTTTAACTAGAAGATATAGCAATTACTCAAAAACCTTAATTATTAATTCCGTTTTGTAGTTCGGYCTAGAATGTCTCAGCCCTCWGGCCGTGCGCAACTGACATATTAATAAAAACAGCAACGACGTGGCACGACAAAATGTCCAAGTGGTGAAATCTAGCGCAATGTGGCTTTTAGACACTTGATAATATCATAAAAGCCTGTGGAACGTGTGTCATGTGCGATCGGTTAGTCTTTAGATAGCAATTCAATGAGGCGATAGGCCATATCAAATACCTTTTACTTATTAGTTCTGCTGCGTTWTGAATTCAAGGGCAGAAGTACGCGAAACAGAATCAAGAGCTTAAAATGTCCCTACAGTGAGATCGCAGACCGGCCACACAAGTCGATACGTCACAGACATAAACGGCCACAACCCCGTTTCGTTTTACACTAAAACAATTCACCTCAACTACAGCGCTGCCCTCTCAAACGTGATAAGAGTAAAAATATTATTTTGTTTGCATTTCAGATAAATGCTCTTGGAAAATAAACAACGAGCTCCAAGCAATTGAACCAAGAACATGACGGCGTAGAAGTCGTCATTTTGTTTACATAAAAACAACCTCAGAGCCGACATGCGTCTGGATATCCAAGTGTTCTGATATGCAAGAGCGTCGCTGGGGTTAAAAACAATAAAAAATAAAGTAATTTTCTGGCGATTTSCTAGCGACACGCAAGAATTCCTGTGTAAATCAATAATATTCTATCGCACGAGCTAAATACCGTCAAAACGTAAAGCAATTACAGCTAATGCGATATAGCGACAACGAAGGRCAAAAAATAACACATATTTGACAAATCTGACGTGCAATTTTATGTAGATTCAATATCCTGGCTTTGCGTCCTGCGATTGCGGATGTTGCTATCTTGATTGAGATTCGGAACATTTTATATTATAAAATCACAGATTTCTATGTTAATACTAACAGATACCAAGAAACGATAGAACATTTATCACTCGAAAGAGGAAAATGCTAATTTTTAGGCAAATTCTTTGAAAAAATATATTGAGTTTATGTACCCACAAGGGATTAAATTTTACTCGGCGAGCACCTCTTAGATATAAATGCAACCGCGTCAATTGAACAGCTTGATGTTGCTTTTCCGTGATCGTAAAAGGATGCGTTAAGTTTTTTTTTTTTAATTCAAAATTATCTTTCGATTTTAAATTCGTCTTTATTTCGATATTGAAAAGAGACGTGTCTAAGCTTTCCACAACGCGTTGCAATTTCCACTGGTAACATTACAGAACGTTTCAGAGCTCAGTAATTAAAATTTTCTCTTCTACTAAGCAAATGCAAAATAACGTTATTTCTAATGCCAAGCAACAATTAACTGAAGATAAGGCCATTCTTGTTAAGAGCCGAACAACAACTAACATCAATCATCGTCGTATGACGTAGAACAATACAGAAATAATCGGTGTTTGCGCGTTTCAGTATTAGAAAACCTTGACAATAAGCCAGTAAGTCGCCCTTTGGAGCTCCAAAGATATGAGATTTCGATACTGGTCTAAGTTTATCGAGTATAATACGTTTATCAAGCGTAGTCTGGTCTGTGTAGCCTACGCGTAGCGACGATTGTCAGCCATTAAAAACTTTCACCTCTGAAATCTGCCAGATCGGTCAATTTCCGGATGCTAAGAGCGAAGAGGTCCGGCCGTGTCTCGCAGAAAAAAAAATCCACTCTAAGACAACCCAAGCGAGATACAGCTATTCTGAGCTGACCAATCATAATATCCGCGATAAACGAAAAGGATCATCCAGATCTTGCGGGATTAGAGGATTTTGAGATGTGTTTATAAAGTGCGAGGCACCACGGACTAATGTAGGTTTCAATTTGCGCCACGGCACATGATTATTCGCGTCAGAAGTCCAGAGCGCCTTGAAGGGGCACGCATTCTAACTTAGTGTTTTGACTGAASCATTGAGAATCTTTGAAAGCACGGGAATAACAATCGTTTAAGGGTGGATGATGAGTATGAGAAGACTTGCTCAAGAATAAAATCCATGTCTAAGGGTGTTCTCTTAAAAATCATCTTATACTTCAACGGGCCTTGAATCTTGCCCATAAAAACCGCGATTGCTGTGCACCTCGTAATGTATTCCCAACTCATRGCCTTGCCTAATCTCTAATTAGTCATATTTAAACCTCAACACAAAAGATTGTCCTCTCTATCACGCCATACTCTATTCAAATGACGTCTCGGTCGTTCGCGTAGAAAAATAYGAATCTGCTAGCTAAATAGATTATCGAGTTTGGTGACAGAGCGTGCGCTATGCCTGTCGCTCGATTCATGTCTGGGGTTGTTAGCGGAAAGTGCGTTCCACAAGCAAAAATATTCTTGTAAATAAAATATTTTAAAACAATTCTTACCCTGACAACAGCACACAGGGGAAGCAGAGTTCTCGTCACAGCAGGGTKTAGTATGTTTCGGCGGCGACAAAGCTTTCTCTTCAATCGCGGTTTCGAGACGAAAAGTCGGTTCTTCAGACACCTTAGGGCATGTTTTAGTGGGGTTGTTAGCAAGATCGACAACGTTCGACGTTCTTGTCAGCTCGCAGGATTTACTGTCAATACTCGGAGATTTCGCTTGCTCGTCCAAGTCATTCTCTTTAGGAGGTTGTGGTTTTATTTCTGACTCGGGTTTATCGTTGGGGACTTCAGGTTCGTCGCTGTCTGAGCCCTACATGCATAACAAAACCACAAACGAACAGGCTTTAGATTATAAAATAAGCAACATTATAAATACAGAATAAAACCGTTCTTTCGCTATTTAAATTAATCACTGTAACAGCAGTCATTGGCGTAAAACAACTAACTTACAGGTTTGCTGTTCACGCGATTGTTATTCAATTCCTCGGTAGAACCATCTTCGGACATTTCCTGCTTTGAACTTTCCCGTRATTGTGTAGTAGAACCCGACGATTTCTGAAGACGAAGGAATACCCGAATTCTCGTTAAGCCTCAAGCCATTTTAATTCCACATAACAAGGCCGAATTTTTTGATATATTCATTCAACAAACACATAAACACTGAATTTGAAACGTTTCGCACCTTTTTGAGTTGAACGCATTTTCGGTACTTGCATATCTGATGACCAGTTTTTCGATTCACACAATTACTGCAATCTCCACAATTAACTTTTCTGGTACAAGGTTCGCATGTACCGCATCGCCGACGCTTCTTTCGCGGCACAGAATCGTCAAATTCAGACAGTGAACTAGCCCGCTTCTCTCTAGCTTCTTGCCTTTTCGTTGTTACCGTCTGTTCCCCATCGTTGTCAGTGTTTGCTGGCATTTTCTCGAGAATAATAATCCACGATCGAGACCAGCTTTAGAATTTTCAACAAGCACCAGCGATCCGTGACACGAGATCTCATGAATTGACGTTCTTCAAGTCTTCAAAAATAACCCGAAGCCGTCTAACTTCTCTTTGGTGATGAAAATTACGGGCAAAWTTTGGAGATCGTGTCGTCGAAGTTGTTCACAGCTCGCCTATGACGCGCGGTGAAAAAATTAACAGGCAACACAGTACGTACGATCTGTTTGCGTCCCAGACGACTGCTGTTGATGATCTTGAACGCATATTCACAYACACACAGCACCTCATCAGACTATTAGCCAACCAGAGCGCTTGGGAGGTGGATCTAGCACTCAACGACCCTGCAAATACAACACCCACGTGGGGTGTACAAGAGGCCGCGAAAACACCGTCCATGCGTGACTCAATTTGCGCGTGCACAGAACATGAGTTATGTTATGAAATTGGAGGGATGTCGAGAGATTTYTCGGGGTTAACCACAGTCTAAACTCAAAGCTCTCTCTCCCAAGCGGTAGATAAATTGTGGTATTGCAACAGGCWTTGTGAACGACGTAAATAATCTTATTTCGCAGACATCAAGCCCCCGAAACTCAATCCACGGCTTCAGCTTAGAACGTCTTTCATGTTTATAAAGCTGCTACTCAAAAGAATACGCTCCAACTTTCATTATTCCTTTATTGACAATGAATTAGACGATTTCAAGCATTGAGAAGATTTTTCGCTCTAGTTATAAGGTCTATGCGTTATGGAAAAGCCRCGTTCTCTCGTAAGCCTTCGTGCTAAAGTGATTAAACTCTGTGTAACAGATATCTGGGGTTATTTTGGAGACGTTGGGCGACGCGCACAAGGTCTGGGGGTTGGGGAAACAAGATAAGAAATTTCGTGGTCGCTCAAAGTGGTCTATTAATTCGCATATTAYGAAAGGGCTCATTTAGGTAGAGTCATTAGCCAGACAAATTGAATAAGAAAGCGAAACGCAGATATATTACTTTTCTAATCTAAAAGCTTCGAGTAATTTGAATTTAGTAAAGCGAAAAAAAATAATACGCTGAAACTCGTTCGTTTGTTGATTAAACAAGTACGGTCAAACAATAATTTTGTATGTAAGCCCGAATATCCTAAATTGCTCGCCAATATGTGCGCCACTCGAAACACTGGGAAATCGTTTAAAGAGGCGAATCAAAGTACCCGTTCGCTCGTCTATTAAAGATAGCCACAGYACAACGAAACCAACTTTCACTGTGGAAAGACCACCTAACGTTTGAACTGAAACATACGTAATCTCTCTGTTTGACTCCAGCCGCGGAACGTCGCTTTTGTTTTGGCAGTTTTACCGATCCGTGACATTATTTACTCTGTGACTTAAGCTCGTCTTTTGTTATCACTTGTCATTGTAGACGTTGGGCCCAGATTAACGTGTTGCTATAGCAACGATGTGCGCAATGATAATCTGAACGTTGAGTGCTTGCAAAACACAATATTTCCGGAAAAAAGACGACAGAGGCCGCAGTGGGGTTAAAGACGATAAAACTCTCAAATCTAGACTACGTCGCGCTACCTTCAAACCCTGTCAAGCGCCTTTAATTCTATGGCAAAGCAATCAGAATATCGTTCAAGAATTTATAAACCCCAAGGATCCTTTTGAAAAAATGATATCCGGCTTTCGCTCTGCATCACTGAGAGAAAACTGAGACCTTAAAAAGCCTATAGAATGTTTATGTTTTGGCGATGATTGAATTTGCTTCAGGGCTTTCGATCTTTCAGTGGAGATACAAAAGRTTTGCGCGCACTGCGAGAGACCATTGTTTCATCGTTCACAAGACGGTACCGAAAGGAAACCCATAAAATKTAGTCTTTCGTTTTTCATTTAGATTCGATATTCGCGCTCGCACCGGGGCTTAATGTTCTTATTTCCTTTTCAGCGACATTTTGGATAATAGCGTYCACATAGACAGTCCAATATGCATCATAGCCTTCCGATATTGAACAAATGGAAAAATTATCGCTTCGGTTACGACGCAAACAGCGCTCCTCACGCGCAAATAAAATCGCTCATATTCAAAAAACCATAAATAGTCTTAACGATAGCCATATGGAACACGATTTAATAAAGTGAACTGAACTACACCAAAATAGAAAGATATTGGAACATTTTACATGGAAAAATATCGAACGATAATTTCCGTGATTAAATTTCCTTCTGGCAATCAATCGTCAATCTGGCGAGTGCCGGCCGACGCTCAGCTCTATTTCAGACTCTAAATTCAAATCATTTATATCTAATTTTATGCCATAAAATTACGAGAAGCTTTTACGCGGCCTGAAGGCYATCAGCGCGTCTCGCTGTGCGACGTTGTCCACTTCAGGTCAAGATTATCGTTGACGTGGAAATAAGCCCCAGCGGAACGTTTTATTTTCCTTAATGGCAAATTGGGTAGTTCAATTTTGCCTTTTTCTCATGTCTCTTTCTTCCGTTTGTTTTTTTTTTTCCCCATTTTAATTTCTTTTTCTTTTTTTTCTTTTCTTTTTTTTTGACGATTCTAGCAAGAATTTTTCTTCCTTTGGTTTAATGGATTTTTTAAAGGTCTTCCATTCATTTTTCATTGGGATTGTGTTCTTTCATATCTTTTTTTAACTGATTTTTATTTCTCGTTCTCGGTTTATTTATTATTATTAATTTTAATTTATTCTCATCTTCTCAGGATTTTCAGATTTGTCTTTCTTCGTTCAATTCGATCTTCGTTCCTGTTCATCATCCTTTTTATCTTGGCATTTTCTGTATTTTTCTGTCCTTTTCATTCAGCATACAGGCATAAGGCCATAATTACAAGTGCCGGTACCGCGGTCCAGCCAGGTTGCGCTCACTTTTCTTATTTCTTCCGATTCATTCATTCATTCATTCATAATTTTTCCGCGTTCTTTTTTCATCTCAGTTCTACACCGTCTTTATTAGCTTCTCTTATTTCTGTCGGTTACTTAAGTAACTCAGTTGACCTAATGTTTCAAATTTCTCACTTTCATTTTCTTTTTACATGTGTCGTTTTAACGTATTTCTCAGACATCTGCTTTCATTTCCTTCCATTCTTCCAGTTCATTTTATTTCATTTYGGCCACTTTGTCTAGCCATGCTTCAACAGTAATAAATTAACTAGCCAAGCATGGCTCTAATGTCTATACGTCCCGTTATTACTTTTAAATCCTGCATTAAAAATTTCTTCGGTGAATAAATGATTCCGCGTTGCCTTGGCCACAATATGATCAGCAACAGGATACTATGGTTCGCAGAGAAAGACCACTTCGGAAACTGCCAACCAATGCACCTGAATTTAATGACTTTGAGTATTTTCGTCTTCAATTGCCTCCGATAGTATTCTCGAAAATGCCTGGTAGAAGTGACGTGATCGTGAGGACTCTTTTAGATATCTCTGATATACCGATCTCGCCATACATCGCGTCTATTTTGGGTCAGTTTTGAAGGCGCGTCTTTGCGCCTTTAAGCGATAAAATCAGTAAAAACGATAGCAGATGATAAACGCAAACCGCCTACAAGTGATAAAAATAAGTCTAAAACTAGATCAAATCGCACGCGAAAAGCGTGTTTTATAACAAACGGTATGGGATCAAACTTAAGGCCGAGAAAGACGAGATGCAAGCTAAAACCTTCGCTTCGATGTTTCTCATTTTACACCTTGCCTAAGCACTGGCTACTTGTCGCGCAATGAAAAAAAAATCAGGCCATGAAAAACGAGAAACTTTAAAGCTTGAACATCAACATTGATGCGCGACAACTTAAGGTTTTTGTGTTTTTCATTTGAACAGGTCRTTTTTTGTATTGAGACCCCAATGTGAAGCGGAAACCTTCTGTCTTCGTTATTTGTTGTTTTTTTAAAGGCATTCAAGGCTAGACGCTTGGTACTTGTGTTTTTAAGTTGGTGCGGAGTAAATAGGCTCCTTGTTTGAGCAAACATGTGACGATCCCAGACCACTAGATTTTGTAATATTCCGTTTGGCGTATTGAATTGCTTACTAATCTATATTCCGATCGAGCGAAAATCTTCCTATAATCTATGAGCTATTCTTATTATTCTCTGAAGGGCTTTAGAAGAACGATTAACCGGATCTAAATTAGGACGATCAGTAACAAATGGAATCGCCTCGTTACAAAATTGATGAATAGCAAAAACACGYATAACATCCAAGCTCCATAAAACTGAAAATCCGCTAATTTATCAAATTGAGAATAAGGTTTAAAAGGTATGTCAAGAAATTGCACTATTCTTAAMAATTTCATTGATTTACCATGTGTTCGGAAGTAAAAAGAATTTACGACATTTGTGCATACAATTATTATTGACGAAAATGTAAAAAAACCTTTCTCATTACGAAACAAAGCATTCAGTTTACCACGCTGTCAATGTTGGTGCCAATATTTCAATTTCTTCATATAAGAAATCCCACTTTTTTGTTCACATTTCACGCAGCTTTTATCATCTCAAAACGATCGTATCGCGATTGTTTCAATTCTCACCAATRAATTCAACGCTGCGTCAACTAGGCATCTGCGTTAATAACGTTCAAAAGATTTTTAATTCTGCGAGAAATTAAAATATACCGCAAGAGAGTACTGTCAACATTGTATTATTGATACTTTAAATACCCGCCAGTGCCAAAAGATGATATATATCGACTTCATTATCTGACGCGCGCCACGTCTTTTAGGCCAAGGCCACACGAGGAAGATTCGTAAACGTTTTGAGGAACGCACAGCGACCAGATTCTAAAACGGTTTAATTTTTATTATTAAGATGTATTCCGACTCTACAAAAAAATATTCTCTTGAGRAATTATATTTTTGTCGACTGGCGGAATTCCTAGCCATTCATCAGACGACATCGATCGTCTCAGTAAGCATTTCCTTTAATTCTGTTTAGGTTTTTTGAAGCGCTGATAGGCGCGCGGCTCTTCTTAGCAGAATCGATAAAGTATCGATCTCGACACCTTAAATTTGCGACTGAAATACAAAGACAAACTTGTTCAATGTGGTAATGCTGTTAAAAAATGGAATAATACAGTTCAAACGTGAAGGGAAGATATTGAAGTCGTTCGAATTCAGAAGCTTAAACTAAATGAAAGGAAATACTGAAAAAGGCAATACGAAAGTTGTAAAATGTGAAATCAGTATCATAATTGTAATTACGTGGAGTTTATTTGAGATTTATAGTGTTGTTATGGTGTTATATTTTACTAATGAAAAACTCTAGACCATCAGATCTACATCGGCAC